ATAGATGGAGTCGGAATAGATGGAAGTCGGAATAGATGGAGTCGGAATAGATGGAGTCGGAATAGATGGAGTCAGAATAGATGGAGGATCGGTCAGAAGAGCTTCTGAAAGGGGAAAAGTTACTGTACTTTATGTATCACAAGGAGTATCCTAGCGTATCTCAAAGAGTATATGTTTAATAAGTTAGCTAGACCTCAAGGAATTCAAGACTTAAGGAAGCAAGGATCTATCCTATATATAAATTTTTCGTTGGGATTCAAGCTCTGAAATCGTATAAAGATGCGGTATCTAGAGTAGAGTGTATTCATCACGAGTAATGCATTTTTCAAACGCCACTTAGGAAAAGTTACCGTACTTTCAGCGAAAATTATGGGAGTGGGACAAATGCGAGCTTTTTTTGTGCGCATCCGGGACATTTGCACGCCTTTTTGCCCATTATAACAAGGATTGCCCTAGACCCACAGAATCGTTTAGTTAGATTCTTATTGACGTGCGATTTTAAGGGCCTGCGCGAGTGGTTTTACATTTGTTTTACATATGTTTTTCATTTGTCTCCAATTAATGCCTCATTTGCATCACATTAGTTGTTACTTTATATCTCGCGTTGTTATTTTTAGCGCCCGCTTTTCTTCTAATACACTACTGGACAATGAAATATCATATTTGAAAAGACCTTTCGCACTTTCGCGCAATCTGTAACCCCTTGTCTTTACCGTATTTCTAAATATTAATATTACCATTGTGTAGCCCTTGAAAAGAGCTTTCAGAAAATGTATAACACTAATAGTTTAAACTCAAAGACAAGGGAGTTACAGACGCGCGAAAGTGCGAAAGTGCTTTTTCAAATATGATATTTCATTGTCCAGTACTGTATATGTTATTTGTTGAGAGATTTGTTGTTTTTATGAATAAAATGTTATATTTTGATTTGATAAAATGCTTTGGAGTGACAAAACTACTATCAAGAAGACAGGAAAGCAACAGATACCATCAAGAGATGAAAGCTACAGACCAATAGCGTAAAAAACAGAAAGCAAGCGAAGCCAAGGGATTCTGTGGATCTAGGGCAGTCCCTTGTTATAATGGGCGAAAAGCTGCACAAAAAGTTCGCAAACGTATGGGTGCGCAAAAAAAGGTAGCATTTGTCGGGGGTGGGACAATTGCGACCTTTGTTTTGCTGGAAAGGCCTTAGGAAGGTCGTAGAGCTTCGAAAATGTTTCCATACTAGGGAATCGTATGCGTAGATTCCGACTTTCCGACAAATCAAAGCAATCAGACCTCGCTGACGCATTAAATTTTGAGCTAAAAAGGCAAAAACTACGCAACTTAACGCTTTTCCGCAGTTTTTGCCTTTTAGCCCAAATCTGACGTGTCTGCGAGGTGTGATTTGTCGAAATTCGGAATCTACGCATACGATACCCTTCTATGAAAACATTTTGGAAGCTCTACGACCTTTCCCTAAGGCCTTTTCCAGCAAAAAAAGGTGCGCAAATGTCCAGGTGCGCAAAAAAAAAGGTCGCATTTGTCCCACTCTCAAAATTATTGCAAAAAAATTGGCGCGAAAAAATCACGCGCGCCGACTTATTTAAAGATATTCAGCCGTTTAACTGATTTGGTGGGAAATTCCCTTCACAAGTAAAGATATTCAATTTACTCGACGTGTAAAGAGGATTACTCGTAGTTAGTCCACCGAAAACGTCGATTAATCGAGTAAAAATTACTCATGTAAATTTTACTCGAGTAATTACTTGCAAGGAACACACTCTAATCTAGAGCCTGTAGACAAAAACAATCGACAAAGGCCTTTGTTCACTATTAGCTTGTAACAGTGAAACTAAAAAGGACACAAAAAACGGCTCTAGATTAGAGTATTGAGTCTAGATTGGGTATTCAGTCCAGATTAGCTAGATTACGGTATTCAGTCTAGATCAGCTAGATTACGATATTTAGTCTAGATTACGGTATTTAGCCTAGAATAGGGTATTCAGTCTAGATTGGGTATTCAGTCTAGATCAACTAGATTACGGTATTTAGTCTAGATTTGTGTATTCTTTTTGTATCTTATTTAAAAGAGCTGCCACATTGTCTAAAGTCTTTTTAATCGCCTGGAAATAGCCCAAAAATCAATTCTCTCTGAGAAACAGTAATTTTACAATAACTTTTGAACTTTAAAACGCTGAAAACTCATATGGCAATTAAAAATCCCATTTTGTTTTTATTAGGAAAAGAAAGTCTTTTGAAGTTTAGACATTGAAATAGACAGCTCTTTTAACATTGTATCTTGATTTCTACGCTTACTCAAATTCACTCATAACCAACCTTCAGCCGCATCAAAATTCTCCGATAAATGATCACAATTTGACACTTGCACAGCAATGACTAAATAGATTTTTGCGATATATTTTGGGTTCGACTCACCAAATATTCCGATTGACAACCATTTCCCAATGATTTTCATGAATACCGAAAAAGAAAGCAAAATAATAAAAGAATTTTTCGATTGTTTTCCCTAAAGATTGGCAGAATAGAAAGAATTGGATTAGAAAATCACAAAAATCTCAAATAATCGAGTCAAAAAGGAAAGAACCACTTGAGAAACTTTGGAATCCTGAAAATCGAAACATTGAGAGAATTTTTGAAAAAGGCAAGGTCAAGAAAAGGAAAAGGTTATAAGATAGTTTTCAGAAATGAAATGAAAGCGAAATTCTTGAAATTTGTTGAAGTCTTGCGACATTGGGCCGAAAATGCAAAAGTTTCAAATGTAAATTAGAGAAGGTAACCGTTTGACTACAGTTCAGGATTGGCTGTAGCTTCACAGCTACAGCCAAATGTCTTTCTAAACCCACAAATTCCCTAAATGCAAAGCTTGGATATAGATTTATTATAAAAACTCGAAAAAACAATATGAATTTCATAGATTGTAATCAGATCTTTTGAAAGCTAATGAAAATGAGTGAGAAAAGTGAACGGTTGGTGCCGCTTGTGTTGTCTTTTACTCTAAAAAGAATAGACATGAAAAAGAGAAAGGAAAAGAGAGTTTTACGTGTTTTGTCTCTTTGCCTTTCGAAAACTCAAAAAGAAAAATTTTGTCTCATTCATTTCAGAAAAAGAAAAGAGGAGATTTGGATGTGAGGAGGGGTAAAGATTGAGTGTTCTCCTCCTTTTCCCTCTTCTCTTTTTCTTTTTCAACTTATCCCATGTTTTTCCCTTGTGCGTACATTACAAGTTTGAGAACATTTATTGTCTCGACGGGTTTTTTCTCTCTTCCCTTGAAAATCCATTGTTTTCACAAAGAAAACATTTTTAGAGCGCTTTTTGGGAGTCGTTTATCTTGTGATAGTTCTTTTACCGATTCAATCGGTAAAAAAATTCAATTGGTGGAAGAATTCAATTAAAGTATCGATTTAAAACAGTTGCAAAATAAAAAGGATATTTGATTATGGTGACTACAGTCGAACTTCTCTATAACGATATCGAAGGGACCAAAAATTTCTATAAAACGATTCTAAAAGCGCGCCACATTTTCTGCGTAGCTGCCCTATGCGGGCAACAATTGCACCTACCGTAAATACTGTAATAGTCCCCACCGCCCTCGTACAGTCGCGTAGTCGCAAAAGTTTTTTAGTATTTCATTTTTTCCAAAGCACCCGTACTTTCAAAAAATGCGTCTTTGGTATGAAAAAATAGCTGAAATCCAGGGCTATTTTTGATACCTAAGCGTGCATTGTAGCATAAACCAGTGTCGAGAAAACCTCGTTCAAAGCTAGACTACGCAACACTCTGCACCATCATTATGGGGGTGGGGCACTATTACAGTATTTACGGTAATTGGGCAGTACGCAGAAATTAGGGCACCTTTAGAATTTCAAAATCGTTATATAGAAGGTCGTTATAGAGAAGTTCCACTGTATTGCAATGATACTAAAACGCGGGTGATTGTACGAAACTAGCGTTTTCATTATGGTAACTTTCTAAAATAAGCGTCTTTAGAAAATGACACATTTCAACGAAAAATCAAGGATAATCAACGAACAACACCAATCAACAATTCATGAGAAAGCGTTAAATTTGTTAAAGGCAACAACGTTAAAACGGAAATTGTGCTAGCGAAATTCGCGCAACAATTGAAAAACGAAAATTGAGCAACCAAACTTGAGGCGAAATTTGCGCAAACGAAACGCAAATTGCGCAATTTACAAGCTTTATAATAAGAATAGCCATAGTTCAGCAACAATAATCAAACTTGCGCAAATTCAAACTAAACAAGACAAATAATTTTAGAGAAAGTAGAAAGTGAAATGTTGTCGCAAATTCTCGAACCGTTTTATCCAAAAATTTCTGCAACCATGAGAGATTATCTCATTTTAGATCAAGCTCTATAAAATGTATAAAAACTCTCGTAACATCCAATGGATTTCGAAAATTTTAATACCAAGAAAATTTCTATTGTTTCGAAAAGCATAAAAACACTCAATCTTTTCGAAACCTTAAACCCATCGCTCAAGAAACAATGAGAGAATGTGCGAGAGTTTGTTAAACCAAAATACATTTGCATAATTGTCTTATGCAAATGTATTTTGGCTTAAGCCCTAAATTTGCATTTATAAGTTAAATAAATAGATTTCTGGAGGATGAGAAAATCATTGTATTTTCTACTCGGCTCTCATCTTCTCTGTGGAAGTCAAAACAACGATGGTTTTCGGCTGCTGTACAAAGAAGCGAAAGCAATCCCGCGTGGGTTTTTTTTTCGATTAAAGCTTTTTTTTCTTATAACTTGTAGCTTAACTAAACTTTTTTCTTTAAAAAAAACTTTTCTTTAAAACTTGAAAGTTAAATTTATTTAGTTTTGCTGGTGCGATCTTTTTAAGAGTTTATCAAACGGCTTTTTCTTACTATCACGTGTTTTTGTATAATTTACTAGCTCTTTAGCAAAGTAAATAGTGCTTTGTAGATATTAAGTTTGTATTTTTGTAATTTGTAGTAAGCTTTGTAGATATTAAGTTTGTATATTCGTTAAATAAATCCAATTTGTCAGCTTTTCAATATCAAACTTTTGTTTAGAACTTGACCAAGAGCAGTAAGTCTGCCGCTCGTTCAAATGTTCAAGCTAACTCCTTTAAAAAAACAATCATCAAGGTAGGTATTGTTTTTTGACTGTAAGAATTATTTCAATTACTATATTCTTCATGACTCTTTAGTCAACAACTCCGGCTAAAAGTAGAGGTGGATCTGCAAGTGGACCTCGTCAAGCACAACCAGAAAAAGGTCAACAAAAGGTCAAGTGGGTTTACTTCTTTTAGGTATATATTAAACTTTCAATTATTGCTTAGTTTCCTCAAAAAGCCTTCATCCACAAAAAGTGCCACTGCCAAGGCCTCTGCTGCAAAAGGAAAATTTGAAGTGAAAGATCCAAAGGCTACTAAAAACAAGTTAATTTTTGATTATAAATTATTGTATTTCTTTTTTCTCGTTAGGATTCCTCCATTAAGAGTCATCCTCTGCATCAAGCAAGAGCAAAAACCATCTTCTACTTTAAAACAAACTTCTGTCTTTGAAAAGCCTCCCGCTCCAGCAAAAGCTCCAGCCTCACCCAAAAAGACACCGGTTTGAATTATTTTGTCTTTTTTAAAAAGTAAATTTTTTGTTTAGGATGAAAAGGCTAAAGCGGGCAAATCACCCAAACGATCCGAAAGGAAAAAGGAGAAAACGAAGACGGAAAAGGGAATTCCACCGCCAGGAAGTACTGTTGATTCATCTCTTTTGCCCGTAAGTTTGCTTTTGAATACACTTTATGGATCGATTGAACGATGTATTTATTATTTTAGTTTGTTGACAAGATCGAATCAACCGGAAGGGCCAATGAGCCAACGAAAGCCGATCCATCTCCCCATCAAGCACCTCCATTTGTTTACGCTTCAATCGCTGATCCAAGACATCCGCAACAACAATTGGTAATTTGGAATTTGAATCGCTTCTCCAATCCTTCTTTGCTATAGATTGTCTCTTCTTTTGTGACTGGCGGTCGTCGTGTGAAGCGTTGGACGTATGCTGATAGTTATCCAGTCGGTCAAATGCCTCCTCAAGTCTTGGAGCTATGCTTGCTGCTAGACCCGCTTGGTGAGTTGCTTTTAGAATTTAAATCTATGTCTGCATATCCATTTTATTTTTTTCTTTTAGTTCTCGTGAAGACTGTGGATTGACGATGATGGAGCCAGTTGGAATGATGCAGAATAACGTACCATCGGTTTTCTCGAAAAGTCGACAGAAAGTGAAGAAAGGCGGAGAGCAGATTGAAAAGAAGAACAAGAAAGAGATGAGCAACAGCGCGCAGAAAAATAGGAAATCTGATGGACCAGCTCGTGAACCACAGTGAGTTGTTTATCATTATGATTATTTATTAACTTTGGCGTCACAGTGAATTGTCTTGTGACGCTTCACTTACATTCAGTCGAACAGCAAATGAGCGAACGTCATCATCAATGACTAATGTTAGCGAAAAGGTGAGTTAAAACTTAGAACATCAATTGTTTAATTTGTGTTTAGGACGTTGCTGAGCGTCGTTTGAGTGAAGAAGCGGTGAGGAAGAAGTTGCTGGAAAGTGCCCAATTGCTTCAGGTAGAGATTTTGAAGCGAAATAGTTACTGTTTTCGTTTATAGCAAGCAATCTCGAAGATGAATGAAGTGCGCTATCGCGAAAAGGACGATTCACTCTATGAGACTTCTCTCTACAAAGTGCAGAAATGCGAGAAAAGGTTGGTTGTTGCTTTGAGCTGATATTTTCAGAATATAAATATTATTTAGGTTGATGGAATTGCTCGTGGTCTTTCAGCTGTGGATCTTCATGAATCAAAGACCAATCAACAAAAGAAAAGAAAGCCTGGATATTGAGGGGATTCACATTACATTTCATTCTACACTTCTCGATTGATTGAATGAATGATTCGAATAATGAATTTGTCCTCTTTTTCGTTGCAAATCGTGTCTTGTGAGTTGTTTGGGCCTGTACTTGAATAAACGGGTTGTAAAAATGAAGTGTTGCTTTATTTTTTTTTCTAGAGTTTTGGTTTTTAGTTATGATTGTTTTTGTTGTTTTTGGTATTGCTCATTTTTTGCGTAATATATTAAAGTTTTTAGGTAGTTCCAATTGATGACAAAAAGAAATGGGGAAAAAGAAGAATCAATTCCGCCAATGGTGAAACAAAATCCACAAATCACACCAATTTTGAAGGTGTGATTTGTGGATTTTGAAGGGGTAAAAAAATTATTTTGACACTTGTTTCTTTTTAGGTGGATGCGCCAATAAATCCCGTTCAGCTCAAAGAAAAGGAATAACCGCTGAAATGGAAGACTGAAGCTGCGGAAAAGGAGGTACGATTCGATTCATTTTCACTATTTAATCGTTATTATTTAGGCTGAAAAAGGATGGATTGAATGATGGACACTACGAGAATCTCTGATGAACATAGGTAAAATTCGCCGATTAAAATGGAAAATGGATTACTTTTTCTTCGCTTCTTGATCTCGTCAATAATTGAAATCCATTCTTCTTTTTTTGTTATCAAAATACACTACCAGTATATGCCATTTCTCTTTTCTATTTTCCTTGGATCTCTCGTGATTTGTCTCGATTTTCTTTGTGTGTCTTACCTTCTGGCGAACGTTTATTTGGTGTGCATGTGCAATGTGCAATAAAATGTGCATGTGGCATTTGAATAAATGAAATGTTAAGTGCAACAATTTTTTTCGCAAAGCTCGATGGGATTTTGCTGTAAAAAGTACAACTTTTTTTCCTTTTAATTTAAAATGCATAGATGAGACTTGTTGGGGGATAAGGAAAGACAATTTTTGGTGAGAATGACCCCCTTGGTGGATATCTTTCCCTTTTGGAATGGTCTCCTTTCACACAAAAAGCTTACATGCATTCATTAATCGAGGTCCATCCCTCTCTTTTTTTTCTTCTTTCAAAAGACTCCATTTTTCAGAATTCCTCTAAATATTTTTCTTTTAGATCAATCATGATTTTGCTGTATTTTCTAATCGAAACACTACGAGCCAGCAATCCGGGTAAAATTGGAAGAAAATTTCTTGATTGTTTGGGAATTTTGAAGGAAAAAGGTGTTTTCTGGAGAATTTTGAAAGTTGAGGCTAATCTTGAAAAACACATTCACACTAAAGATTCGAGCTAGCTAAATAAAATATTTGAATACCTTGATGTTTGAATTTAATCACTACACAATTAGATAAACTTTAGAAGATCGTTGTTTGGAAACAATCGACCCGGGACCGTGCCAAGTTTATCAAGTTTGTTTTCGAGTGAAATTCTAAAATTGAATGAATGAAAAACTTACAAAACTTTAATAGAAAACTTTTACGGTTACCAATACGGTTCCAATACGGTTCCTATTTTCTCAGATGAAATGGTTTTGGGATGAGAGTGACGGACAATGCAAAGAATTCACGTATGGAGGATGTCTCGGCACTAAAAATAGGTTTGTGTTTTGGATTTGGATACAATTAGACCATCTTTTGAAAAATTTTGTTTCCAGATTCAACACGAAACAGGAATGCATCAAGATGTGCCGATACAAATTGTTCAATCCCGCTGCTGTGCCTGGTTGGGTTTAGCATAAAGTTTTTAAAGAATAGAGCTAGCTACATAAAGTTTTTAAAGATTAGAGCTAGCTACATAAAGTTTTTAAAGATTAAGAGCTAGCTACATAAAATATTTGAATACCTTAATGTTTGAATATCATTTGAAAAGAATACGTTTTTAAATGATTTCATTTTTCTCAGATCTTTGTCTTCTCGAGGTCGATCATGGACATTGCTCGGATGAACGAAATGGACAGTGGTGGTTGGTGAAACGTAAAGTTTGACTCTCGCATTTTGCTTCCTATTTTCGTAATACATGAATCGTGTTTTCAAGAATTCCCTGAAAGTCTTTAATATTTAGATTACAGGTATTGGTTCAATTCGGATTCGGGTGAATGCGAGAAATTCTTCTACTATGGATGCGGGGGAAATGACAATAAATTCTACTCGATTCATTTATGCCGAAAAGTTTGCGGAGAACGATTATCACCACAAATTGGTTTGTTTCAGAAAAGAGGAGAACTTATTTAAAATGATAATTATATACAATTTGCATTTAAGAAATATTTCAGCTTGTGATCACTGTGACTTGAGGACGTCGTATTGCAAGGGAAATTCGAAATACAATTACACATGCGAGTGTCGGACGGGATTTCAGAGAAACACACAAGGAGAATGCATTGGTGAGAAGGAGAAAATAGTGATAACAAATAGAATTACAATAAAACAGTTATTCAGTACCTATACTTAGACAATACTAGACAATACTAGACAATACTAGACAATTATTAAAAACTAGGATAGCCGGTCGTTATTATTTGAGCAAAAGCCTGACCCTTCATTCTGACCCTTAAAGTGTTTATTCGATAATCTTTATTCAGATATCGAGGAATGTCGAGGTTTCACAGCGGTTTGCGATAA